TGGAAGGCACTTAACTAAATGAACTACAAATGTTAAAAATTAAATCATAAAAAAGTGTAACTAACTTGTTGTGTTGTTGGATTAATCTTGATTATTACCTCATTTTGGTTTTCCTATCTTATAAAAGATTTGTATCTCCACATTAAATAGTATTGGGTTCTGATATAAGTTATGATTTAATTAAATCAAATTTAAGTGAGGGGAGAAAAATCCTCTCATACCATGCTTCCGGAAGAAGTTGACACAACTTAGAACATGTACGAGGCATGGTTGTATAAAACTAACAAAAAGAGATAATCAAGGGAGGTGAATGATATGGAAGAGTACCAAGTATCAATATACATTTGCTGCCTAATCAGATAAATCTATCAGAAATCGTTAAGGGTTAGAATGATGGACCAGTAGAGTATAAAGCAAGTCATAGTGAACCAAAAGGCATGTTCTTATTCTCAGTTATATATGATGGAGCTTAGGATGACTGATGATAGTAATAAATGAGTGTGTACTTTTCATTCATTGCCAGGAGGATTTATGCCAACATGCCTCTTTGCTCTAAAATTATAGAAAACAAAGAGAACTATGGAAGATCCTATTGCCATAGAGGACTACAAAAAAAAATCCTATTGAAATGTTAGCTAGTTTAATTTGAGCAATAGACTATGTTATAGAGACATACTAGTTTGTAGTTGTACTTATGTCTTTATTATTACTAGTTGAGCAGTCAATTGTGATTATAATAATGCTAGAAGAGCTTGGATGCTGGATTTCCATGTTAATTGCCTTGTCGTTTTGGAATGCAGAAGAAAAAAAGTGTGGCCTTGTCTTGAGTGTTGGTTAGAGCAATCAGTGAATAGAGCTAATGTTTGTACTTTAGTCTTTTCAGTAGCTCTAAATCCTGTGATTGAGGTTGTACAAGAAGTGTACATAGTTTCTAATTTGCTTACTTAAAGTGTAGATTTTGGGACATAGAAAGTAGGTAATTGTGAAATTGATGTTGCTAGAGAAATTTAGACAAAATTTAGAATTAGAAATTTGTTTCGATGAGATGTACCGGCTACAAGGCATTCTGAGGAAGGTGTGCCATTTGTGGAAGAGCTTCATGCTGGAACAAGAATAGTAGATTTGTAGTCAAAGAGGCTATATGGAGTAGCTGTTAGCTATTTGTGATGAAGATAATTGGTGAATAAAGATTGGTGTTTGTTGACATTTGAATTAAGTTAAATAGATATTTAGTTTGAGTATAAGAGTTTTGAAGTAGCAATATCATGATAGTCACATAATTAAAGTTTTTGTTTGAATTTTTGAAATAGAAATTTTAAGAAATTTTCTTAAAAGCTTGGTAAAGAAATCTATATTTTTTTCTTTGGATGGAACACATTAAAATTTTATATCTCTACTTGTGATCCTTTCACAAATAAAAAGATAATATATAATAATATGTTTTGTGCATTGGTTTATATCTAGATTGATTGCTATTTTCATACTAACTTCATTATTTGAGTAAATGATAATATGTCAATTTATATGAAGACCAAAATCATTTGTTAATTTTTTTAGCCAAGCTACTTCTCTTGCTACTATAGAAATAGCCATATATTCAACCTTAGTTGAGCTAAGAGCATCTATTTGTTGTTTCTTTGACATCCAAACTATAAATATATAGCCAAGACTAAAAACAAAATATGTTTTTTTGGTACTTATCAAAGTCCATATAAATTTTTGTATCAATAATATACTAAATGTTCTTTGCTTTTGACTTCAAATCATTGAAGTTGTGTAATAGATACTTCTTATTCTAGGTCTCCATATGATATAGTGGCAAATTTCTTTAAGCAACAAGAGCCAATAGCAATGAAATAGTTTTTTATTGACTACTAGTGCAAATGTGTCTTTATAACCTATATACTTTTGCTCAAAAGCTCTGGCTATTGATCTAGCCTTGCATTTTTGTAATATTCCATCAATTTTGTTTTGAAGACCTATTTGGTGCTAATAGGTATTTTTTTATGAGGTAGTTTGATGAGGTTTATATACCATTTTTATGGATTGATGATATTTCTTTTTGCATTGCTTGAGCACAACCTACATTGCTTGAATCCAATTAGGTTGTATAATAGCCTACTAGAAGTTTGTTGGTTCCATGGAAAGTTCATATAAGCCTACAAAATATTCATTGAGCCATTGAGCCATGCAGGTGGATGCCTTGATCTTCAATTTTGATTTGAAGCTTGTTGTGTTGTTATTGAACCATTGAATTCATTGTTCAATGGTGTGTTTTTCGAAGGGGATACTTGATTGTTGAAAAGAGTGGAAAAAGGCCATGAATCCATGCCATCAATGGAGGAATGGTAGGGGGCAAAATTGGGTAGTCTTGCAGTTCCTGTGCATCACAGTTTTCAGCAGTGGGAGTGGCCGAAGAAGGCCCATCGGAGGCATCTATATTTTCAATTTGCTTCGTAGCTTGCTGATGCGATGATGTGCGCGAGAAGCAGTCGGAGTTAGAGAGTGTCCAAAAAATAAATCTCATCAAAATCGACATCCTGCGTAATAAGCACTTGCCGCAAGGTGGGTACCCACACTCGATAAGCCTTCGATGCGGAGTCATTGCCGAGGTAAGCCCCTTTAATAGATTGCAATGATAGCTTGTCAGATCGGAATTGATGTATGTGGGTGACGTAGCCACAAACGCGTAGTCGTTCTAAATTGGGTTTGATGCCGGTAAAGACCTCTTCCAGCGTAACGTGCTCGTTGAATCGGGTGGGGGTGGAGTTCATCAAATTGACTATCGTCCGCGCTGCCTCTGCCCACAAAAAAGTGGATAGCTTTCCGTCGATCAACATAGAATCAGTTGTATTTACTACAGATTTATATTTGCGCTCAACAACCCCGTTTTGCTGGAGATTGCGGGCAGTAGATAAATCACGTAGTATCCCATGGAAGTTGAGGTACGCAGTAAATTTGTTGTTCATGAATTCGCCGCCCCTGTCGAAGCGCAGTTTGAGCAGTTTCTGGTCCGTTTGTCTTTCAATCATAGCATGAAAAATTTCGGACTCATCAAATGTGTCAGCCTTTGAGCTCAAAAAATAGATCCAAATCTTTTGGTTAGGAGTAAAAAAATAGCAAGACTAATCTGGTGACAGAATCGGAAGTAGGCCGCACAAGTCGGTGTAGACAAGTGCAAGCGATGTTGATGCGCGGTAAGTGGTGAATTTTGGAAATTCTTGGCAGGTCTGCTTACCCTCAAATCATGTTGTACATGGCTGAGAAACAACATCAAAATGTGGTATGCCCGTAGCAAGTTGCCAGTTTATAAGAAGATTTAAACTATCAAAATTCACATGACTGTCTTTTATGCCACAGCTTGGAGAGTTTAGGGGACATTTGATGGGTGAGTGAATGAAGCTCAATATTCTATGTATCGGTAAAAGTGGTAAGCTTTTATAGCCCCATTCCTCTGTCTTGTCTTCCCAAGGCAAGTAGAGTGAATGATTTTGTTTGGCTAAGGATGACACAAGAATATTTATCAACTACTGCAATATGCCCTTTGTCTGTAATCTTTCCAACAAATAAAATATTACAATAGAGCCTTAGAACATACTTGACATTTTTGATAGTCTTTATTTCTCCCGAAGGAAGGGAGCCATGTGTTGCTCCATGTCCTTCAATGCGATGAACATTGCTTCTTGTAGAGGTCACTGATGATCAATTAGAAGGAATTATATATTTGAAGGCATCTTTGTCTCCTGAGAAATGAGCAGATGCGCTCGAGTCGAGAATCCACTCGGATTCTGTGCCATATAAGGTAAGAACATTGAGAGCCACCTCCAAAGAGTTCCTCGAAATGGGTTTTGTCATAAGCATCCGACTGCTCCACCATATTAACGCTGGATTGATCATAAGAGGATCATGGATGGAAATTAGAGTGTGGAATAGCTGGATCGAGAAGAGGAGGTACATTGTTGCGGTGCTGGTCAAAACTGCAATGGTGGTGCTGTATAAAGAGGGATTGGTGTTGGGCATTATTTAGATGTGTGGCCACAATGTCCACAACGTGTACACAAAAAGGTTTCGGGATTTACCTGGTTGCGAGAGGAGAAGCCGTATGAACGTTTTTGTGGTGCTCAATATCGCCAAATGAGAGCATCTCAAAGTTGCATTGTGAGGGCTTATTTGAATTTTGTTCTCTGTAAGGATATGTGGTGTCTTCTATCTGGAGTAAAGCACTAAGTTCCTCAAGAGAGGAAATCTGCCGTTCATTGCTAATTTGATGAGCAAGAGGAGTAAATCGGTGAGGCAAGCAACTAAGTATTTTATAAACAATAAAAGTATTATTTTGCGGATGGCCAATATGGACCAGCTCGTGTTGAATGTCACATACCCGAGTCATATATGTCATGACGTTCTTGGTCATTCAAAGGCCCTTCTATTTGTTCAACACGACCATTATGTCGGCAATGGTGTTGGTATGATACAAGCTAGCTAGCTTATTCCAAGCAATATTCGGATCTAGGATGTCCTCCACAAAAATATGCAGCTTGGGTTGTAGAGACAGCTCGAGAATAGCTGATACTCGCTGCCGCTTAAGTCAAAGCCATTCTAGATCTAGTGGTATTCTGCCGGTTGTAGTTGTCTTTGGGTTGGAGAGAGCACTAGTGCCCATAGAACTACTGCTGTGCAACTCATATGAAGAGACTACGAGCTCAGGACCCAGCCCACTCTAATACCATGTGGGGGGAATAAAACCAATAATATATTCAACATACTGACCTAAAACAAGTCTACAGATATATACTGTGGAGCTTAGGATGATTGATGATAGCAATGAATATGTACTTTTCATTCATTGCTATGAGGGTTTACTCCAACGAAAGAGACATGTGGAGTCCGTATTTTCGACCGACCAGGCACCCCCCTCGCAGTCGAAAGCAACGTTTCATTACTACTGCAGGGCAAGAGAGTAGTCAATTTGACGGAACCTCGTTATTCCAGGAATGCATAATTGAAGAAGAATCCTGGAAGGCAGCCCTGCACCTGTGCAGAAATGTATCCAGCACCAGGCCTCACGCAGACTCTGCTTGGCTCTTTCCATCCCGCCATAGAGATGCATTATTTACTACTCTACTGCAGATTAATTTTGTGTAGTGTTGTGGTTGTACACTGGGATAGCCTGTGTCTTGGATGTGGAGGAGCTGTTGTGCGGTGAAGGACAGGTAAAATCTTACCTGTCTCTCGATCTCATGATCCATCCTGCTCATGACCAGCAACCACTCGAGGCTTCTTAGTGGGCTGCTGTAGGCGAGCAGACGGCATGCTCTTCATACCCCATCGTAAGCGGAGGTGTATCATTTGCCCCACCAGCTAATACATCACCGAAAGCAGTACTAGTTCGCAGGCGAGGGAATCAAAGTGTACCGTTCCTAGAGTCTGTCGTGGTTGCACTATCTTGTTGGTCGGTGGATTTAATGGTGGCGCAATTACACAAACGGCTATGAGCATGGCCTAGCGGCAGTCAACTATCTTTTTCGTTACTATCAACCGATCGCCGTGCATTCCCTACAACGTCCTTCACAGAGGAGCTGGACCTGTGCAAGGGAGTGCTACTGCGACACGTCATGTTTTCATCGTCCTTGTCGGGCACTTTACTCATGCAATCAGGATTGGTTCAGAATCTAGCACCTGCTCTTTTGCGCTTTTCAAGGAGTTTGCCTTGTATCACAGATTCTCATAAGTTTCGACGGTTTCGGAGTCGGAGTGAGAGAGTAGGACATATCTACTACTGTTTACCGAATCATTGGTCAGCGGGATGCTTCGTTTTCACTGTATCAAATCTCGTCAAGTGCAGAAGTTGTGAAGGTCGTTGTTGGTTTCCGTTGTTATTGTTCAAACTGGTATGATGCGTGGTGTTGGAGTAGGTTGAAGGACGGTGGGGAGTTCAACTTCCAGTTTATCCAAATCAATTTTTACAAACCGGCACTCTCTCAAGTGGAGAATTTGGTCGAAAATGGTATCAGTGCAGCTATGTTCTTAGCGTATTTCAACGAGATAGAGATGTGGTAGCACTACATTCGAGTAAGGGGAGAGTCTACAGGCGGGAGCGAAGTAGGGTAAAATGGAAAATTGGTGATGTCTGTCTCTAATTTAACGTAGATACTCCGTTCTGTTGTACTTTTCCGTTGTTACACAAACTGAACCCTGCTAAATTACAAGTGAATTAAAATGAAGTCATAAAATGACAGGAGTTAACTTAGATCACAACATCCAGCAAGTGGTGAACATTGGAGAGGTGGGGAGACGTTGTACTCTGATAGGCTTGTGACAATATGCATAGAACAAACTGGTAGAGTTAAAGGATATTGTGAGCGAAACAATCGCACAGTGAAACCCGACAGCAGTTAACTTAAGATGGAGGATTCGCTGGGAGAGGAGCAGCGAATGGCGCAAGCAATGCAGGAAATAGAGAAGCTAGTCCAAGAAAATGCTGTAGTGGTGTTCAGCCAGAGCAGGTGCTGCATGTGTCATGTGGTGAAGCGGCTCTTCTGCAACTTAGGAGTGGGGCCTACAGTGCACGAGCTCGATGAGCGTAAGGAAGGTGTTGACATGGAGAAAGCATTACTGCGCCTCAACAACACAGTTGTGCTTCCCACCGTGTTTGTGGGGGGGAAACTTGTAGGGGGAGTCGATGCTGTCATGGCTGCCCATGTGAGCGGCAACCTCGTTCCCCGCTTGAAGGAAGCTGGAGCCCTGTGGTTGTAGCTTCTCGCTCTATTTTTTGCTCATTTAGATTGAACGTGGGGTTGAAGGTGGAGCTGCTTGGCCCTCGCCTCAGCATCTTGAAGTTATTGACGAGACAGTGAGATGTCATCAAAAGCTTTTCCCGAGTCCAGCTGCTCGTATAGTACCGAATTTGTCGACGTATTCTGGAATATCTGGTCTCATGTTTTTAGACGATCATTTCAAAGCTACCGCCAGTTTTAGTGATCGCCAGCTACATATTTATAGATCGTACAACTCATGTCAAACAGTTCGAATACAAGTTCGGAGCCTGGTTCTCCCCTTGCATTGAGGATACAGATCAGCACAGACAGATGGTTAGAATAGCCTGTGCACTAGTGTGGTGTAAACAAGAGTATGCAGAGCATTTTGTTTCTGCACGCTTATCGCCAGTATTGGATTGAGCACAATCGATTGCACAAATATAAATGAGTTTGTGTTGGGAGTCAAATTGGTAAGCGTGGTTTCTGTGGATTTCACTCTCGTCATCATGGATGACATGTTTCATGAGGGGATTGAATAGAAATGTGAATCGTCGAGTATTCTAGCAACGTGAATTAAACAACTCTGATTGTTATGTGGAGAATGGAGGACTTCTGGTGTTGAACTGGTGAGCAGTCAAAGTCACGAAATCCACAATAGAGCGACTACGATGGAAGTCATCAGCGGTACGCACTCCCTAGAGTGTGACTGGGTAGAGGTGAAGGGTGAACTCCTCCGCTGGATTGGTGGCGGATTACACCGGAAGAACGAGAGGAGTGCAGCTGGAAAGTGAAGGATACGGCCAGTCATGAGTATAAATAAAGCAAATAGAGCGAGAGAGAGAGAGAGAGAGAGAGAGAGAAACTGGAAATGAGGCGGGGGAGTAGGTGAGAGGGAGTTGGTGAGGGAGGGGAGAATCAATCAAGCAATGAATCTCTCCCTCCCTCTCTCCCTGGGAGGGGAGGGGAGAGGGAGGGCGATGCAGTTTGACCGAAAGGATCTCCGGGAATGGGGGACGGAGGCGGGTCCCTCCACCCTCCGACGAAAAAATAGAACCCCTCTCCTACTCCCCCTCCTCCTGCGCAGGGGTAGGCTTAGGGAGGGAGGGAGGGGACGGTAGGGAGTTAGCAGCGTTGACAGGCAGTTGCCGTGGTGACGTGAGTACTGTGACATCAGCCATTCGTCAAGCTTGGTGGTGGCTGGGCAACGGTGGCCATCTCAGATTCCTTTTTCCATAATATTCTTCTAGCGAACCCCCTTTAGAATGTTCTCCTCCTCATTGTTCCAATTTCTTTACCACGATCCAATAGTTTTTATTTTTAAAGTATTCGTTGAATATTCGAATCACTTCACACACACACACCCCCCCCCCCTTTCCCTCCTGGTACAACAATTCTGAAGTTATTTAGCAAGATCAGGAGCTGGAAAAGAATCCTACCGCCATGTGCATCATTTTGCATCAGATATCTCAAGAGTGTTGAAGAGATCAATTCGTTTTGTAGATTCCGGTGGAAGAGATAATCCTTCATAGATTTTGGTAATACCCTCAAGCCAAGAGAACAAGAAATTGGTGCACCGCATGGATGAACAAAATGGCAATTAGAAGCTTTAGTTTAGGCTTTGATAAGTCATGAACATTTTTCAAACCTTGTTTAAAGAGAATCTGTGTGGAAAAATGATGACTGTTTCATTACTAATATTAATGGTTACATTACCAAAAGTACCAAATAGAGGTTTATCCATAATAATAATAATAATAATAATCATAATAGAATTATAAATTTTCTTTAAAACTCTCAAAGAACTTTAAAATTTATTATTAATTATGGATATGCACTGGATGATTTTTAAGATAAAGTCATTTGAATTATTTTTTAGAAAATATTATATGATGGATCTCAAAAAATAATCACATTATGATTTTTTATTGTTTGATAAGATTCAAATGCATCAAAGCATAAAAATAAATAAATAAATAAATAAATATAGGTGAATCTTAGAATTTTATGAAAAATTCAACTCATGACACTTATTACAAAATATACATTCTAGAATGTGATTTGTAAAAATAAAGTGTTGTATGGTCTTTCTTTATTTTACAAAAGCTATGTTTTGCAATCACACATAACTTATAAATACTAAATAACTTTTAGATTTAAAAAAAAACTAGAAATAAAACTAAATAAAATATTTTAAGACTATTTTTACATAATTACAAGATTTAAAACATCTTATATTAATATTTGTATTTTGAATACATAATCATAGTGATATATTTTATTTAAATATTCAGAGTATACTTAAAACTTTTTGTCTATGATAAATGATGGATTGGATAGATTTAGATGATATTAGTTTAATACCTAAAGTCTATTATATACTAAAAATAAAATATAATCGTATAAATGAATAGAAATTATTATCTACTTTTAAAATTTAAAATCAATATTAAAATTTCAAACTTAAAAACTTCCAAAAATCACTGAAAGGATAAAATTAGTATAATTAATATTTCATACAATTAGAGTATAATTCTTTTATAAGGCTTATGATCACTCAATGGTAGAAATATTATGAAAATATACTTATGAAATTCATGTGAAGAGAAGAAATAAAAGTTAAATGGTAGTTGTAATATACTTAAAGGTCCTTCAGATTTATTATATGTAACATTTATTTATTTATTTATTTTTCAGTAAGATGTATTGTTGTTAAATATGTCTCAAATAGTTTTTCAACCACAGTCACCAACATCAAAACCAAACTTGATTTCTATTTGTATTAATTTTTGTGTTCTCAAACAGGTAAGATATTTGAAAATTTAATATCTTTACATGTATATACACAAATAAATATAAAGAATTACAATCTTTTAAGTCAATTTATACAACTAGTTTTTAGTATTAAAAATAAAATTTAAAACACAATTGCCAATTGACCAGAAAACAGGAAGGACTCAAAAAATGTATACATATATATATATATATATATACATGTGTGTAAATGGAATATTTCAATAGCAATGAGGAAATGTGGGAGATGAAATAGAAAGAGAGAAGAATGGCAAATGAATATTAATGCGACATAGAATAGAATAGGATATTTACAAGGGGAGGGGGTTGGTTGGTTGGGATGGAGACTAGTAAGTAAGTACGTAAGTATTGGGAGAGGAGAGAGGAGAGAGAGACGTGGAGATGGAGAGATAGATGCTGTGTGATGGTGACATGAGATGATGATGAGAATGGTGAGAGAGGAAGGCGAAGGGCAGGGGGAGGAAGGGAAGGGAGGTAAAGGGAGGGAGGGGGTTTCCCACCGCTTCACCGGTATCATCATCATCATCATTCTATCTGTCCCTTCACTTCACTTCACTCGCTCACTCACTCACAGCAATATCGCAATCATCATCATCATCCCCCCTTTCCCTTTCACCACTTCCTTCCCTTCCCTTTCTGCTCTTCGTGGAGGAATGTCAATGCAAAGCTACCTGTCGAAGAAGAAGGAGAAGCAGAAGAAGAAGTGCTTGACCTCATTTTAATCCACTCACTCACTCATGGAATAACTGTTCCCTTCCTTTGCATGACAAACATCACCTTCATAATAAATACCCTAATTAATCTATCACTAGACAGAAAGCCTTCCTCACTTCTACAATTCCTTCTGCTCTTAAGGAGTTGCCTTGAAATGAAATCGACATTCGTGTGCCGGAGGAGCTTCCCCTTGTGATTCTGGCTGTACTTCAGATTCTCCCTCAGCAATCATCACTCCTCGAGGAAAGTTACAACACTTGAACTCTTGGTTTATCCTACTGCATGGCATCAGTTTCATGCTATCGCCTAAGTCTGTATTATGAATCACATCAAATTGCATACATCTTGTTGTCGAGAATGCCGTCCCATGGAAAATTCATTAACACGATAGTAGCTGGCCACTGCGAAAAAAAAATACCCTGCCGTCGTCTTTGATATCGATCCAATCAGGAATTTCCCTTGCTGTTATCAAGTTCCCTGCGACCTTCTGAACATGCGCTATCTGAAGTTTAGGACGAGAATTCACATAAATGCATGTATGATATGGAGCATTCTATTTGGAATTTTTCAACTGAGATCATTTGGATTTTTTCACAGAGGTGGGGACAGAGGTATTTCTATTCGCAAGAAGTTAAATTAGAGACGGGTTGCCTCGCACTTTTGAGGGAGAGGGAAGAAAGCAGGAAAGGATGACCCGTCTTCACGCTATAACGTATGGGTGCTACATCACCGCAATAATGGTTCAAGGGGTGCTGTCAATGGGATTCATTTTAGATCCGCTAAGGATGGTTCATGAAGTGACAGATATTCATGGACAATTCTTCATCCGAGTGACAGGCATTTGTCTCCTTTTCTTGACACAGTTTTTTTGGGGTTTTCGGCACGTTCCATTCCAAGCATCAAATGGATTTGATTCGCAAATGGCATCATACTCGCATGGCTGCGCGCGGATGTTTACAAAGTTCCATTTTTTAATATCGCTGCTATTGTTATGGTCGAAATATTCATTGGGCTTGAACATGACCTGTGGCCCGTACCTCTTGAGCATGCACCTCATGTGGACCACCATTATGACGTACGCGCTATTGGAGCATAGACGTAACGTCCGGGGCTTTATCATTGACACTTCCTCTGTTCCAGCAGCAGCTAAAAGCCTTGCGGAGATGATCAAGGGTAGAGACGAGCCACCGACTATGTTGGAGTACCTTAGGGGAGACGACTCTAGCTCTACGAGCGTCTTGCAAACGTTGAAAGGTTTGCCCATTCCGTGTGCTCAATATATTCGTAAGGTCAGTGCAGATTTCTCTTGCGCATTCCATGCGGTGCCTGACTTACCTCACATCGTTCTAAAGCTCGAGTTTGAGGGTGTGAGACTGAAACTGCTGAAACGATGGCTTGGTGCAGAGGAAATCAAGACCGAATGAGGACGACGGACTTCATTGGCAGAGGAATGAAGGTCACTACACCTTCCTTAGTGATGCTAATTGCCCTGCGATGGCTCCATCCTGTTCTTCCACATGCCAGATAACCCTTTGCATCGATATCTAGTCAGAGAGCACCATTTTCTTTTGTGCAGGCTATGGTTTCTGTTACTGCTTACCAACTCGACTTCCATAATAACCATGGAAGTGGGAAAAGCCCTTTGATGTGCGTGTTTTTACAAACATGTATAAACAAAAAAACAGAAAAAAAAAAAAAAAAAACAAACAAACAAACACACACACATATATATATATATATATATATACACACACACACATGTTTTGCCCTCAGAAAAACCTACAATAAACATACACAAACTTTGGCATTTGAGAAAGGAAACTCCAGATTTCAGCACTTCGAAACACCAATGATCGCCAACATAACAACTACAATGGCATGGAAGAATGTCCAAACAAAATTTAAACTATTAAGAGGTCATTTACGTTTTTACTTCATAAATTCCAATAATTTATCACATTCTAACTTAAAATATTACTATTATCCAAAAAATCCTCATAATATCTAGTTACATATAACAGTGCAATATATTGAATTGTGTTGGAAGTTAAAGTTATTTTTGTTCATAATCTTACAAGTTTCAATAATTTCTTATAAAACATAAATTCAGCATTACTTTGAAAAACATAGAATTATTATTATTATTATTATTATTATCATTTAGATTGAATGGTTAAAATGAAATATATATATATATATTTTTTAATTTTGTGAATTGTAAAAGTAACTTTGGAACACCGACTATTGTATTCAACTGGTTCACAAAATAAAACCACATAGATATCTCTTAAGATAATGCAAATATGATGAATTCCAATATATCAATTATATAACAGTAAAAACGTAAAATAAAATTACCAAATATCATCTATACAACAAAACACATCATAAAAAAATATAAGATCGTTTATCAATAATAAAACACATCTATAGTAAAATTAATCAAAGCACACAAGCAACAACTTTCATGATTAAAATTATTGCTCCTTAAAATAATATAATCCCTTCAATTTTTTTTTTGTAACTACATAACATCACATAGAAAAGTAAAGATACAATTCACAATACATATATATATATATATATATATATATATATTTTTGGTCTAAAATATAAAAGAAAATTTTAAAATATAATTTAAGTATGTAATCAAATAGATAAAATAGTTAAAATAGGACCAAAACTAAATTTTCTTCATTTTTTTATTTTCCTTTTCATCTTTTTTTTAAAATTATTTTTTTAGAAAATAAAATTTTAACCAAAATATTACTTTCAAAATTAGATAGTTTATTTTCAACTAAATTATTTTAATAGAAACCCATCCAAAAGATTGTAAATCTCAATAGATTTTACATACATTATTTGTTAATACATTATTTTGTGGTTAATTTATAATCTATTCATTAATAGTATAAAATTATATATGATATACATAGTATATACTTATAGTTAAGAAAACATAATAGCAACATAAATAATGATGCACCTAAAAAATGATGCATATGCTATTACAATAATAAGCAAGATTGTTTAGTATTAATTTGGTAAAAGTGAGTGTCATATATATTTTTTAAAAATTTACATAGTTTTTATAATAAATTTCTAAAATTATTTTAAAAGAAAATTAAAAGTCAAGTCTTATTAAAAAGCTTCCTCCAATCATTTGGTTACCAAGACATATTATAAATCTTTTATTAATAGTCTAGATAGAAAGCCATTATAAAATTAGACCACAAGCTTCTAACCTTGTAAGTAATATATATTAGAATAAAAATAATATTATATTTAGTAATATAATTTTTTTTTAAAAATATTTGTTTATATTTCTTTTTATTTTATTCTATTATTTTATTATTTTATTATTTTTTTAAAAATTCTTTTAAAAAAAGTTAATTTTATGACTAAATCTAAAAACTTCATGCATTTGAATTTACAACTTTGTAGCAAACACTTACTACTTAATGAACTTGATAGGAAAATATGTTATGTTTGAAAGCAAACTTAACTACATTTAAAGATATTTATTAAGATATCCTACAAGTAAAAATTTAATTTTAGTATAAGTTATTATTTTTGGCTTTGAAGGCTTATAAACCACCTAAGAAATAATAATAAAGTTAAAAAAATCAATACATTTAGCAAAGATTATAAGACATACATAAAAAATATACAAGAGAAGTGCACAAAAATTACACTTGTATCTTTTTAAAAATAAGAGTATTATTACAAACATAAATTTTTTTATCTTTTTCAAAAATAATCAAAAATATTATTCTTTAATATTTAAAAATTGATTCTTGCTATAAAAATTTTCTAACAAAACAATTCTAGTAATATAATCTATAAGTTTTATTAAGAATAATTTATATATATATATATATATATATATATATATGTATATATATATATATTTATACATAATATGAATGCCAATCAAAATATTGATGCATAAGAGGCACGAACATACTCATGTACGTTAGTAATTACATATATAAATAAGTAGAAGTAAGTAAAAGTAGATAAAAGTAAGTTAATTCTATAGTATTTGATATGGAAGGTTCTTAGAAGCTTTATAGATGCTGCTTTGACTTCATAGGTGTCTTTAATTGACTTTTTGGATTAGAAACGTGGTCAACAAGTTGGCCATGTGCCACACATATTGTTAGCTTGAAGACCAAGCTAACTATGTGACCCACACACAGAAAAACTTGCCTTGTAAGTCAAGGCAAGTGTCCTACAAAGTCAACACATATTGGAAGTCCTATAGAACGTTGCCACATAGCTTCTAGTTAGATAATATATATAGAGACAAGAGTGAAGCCTTCTTCACTCTTGTCAACTCCTTTCTTATTTCCAGTTTAGTTTCAAGAGTCATCATATTTTATAGTCTTTGGCAATAGCCATTTTAATTCAATATATTATCATCTTTGAGTGATTTCTAAGTATTTTCGAGTGACACAAGAGTGTATTGAGATTATCTTTCTTTGGAGTTCATGTCCTTGATAGTTTGACAAGAGTGCTAACATATTGTTTTTGTCTTGTTCTAAAAGTCAGTCGATTATCTCACTTCTATTATTATATTTTAAAGATTATGGACTATCCACCTTTAAACAAAAAATCTTATTTTCTAACATTGATCTTTTTCTTAAAGAAAGTGGATTATCCTTCTTTTTAGAATTTATTTTTAGAAGTTACAAATTACCCTCCTCTTATTTAACTTTTGAATTCATTTGAGTTGTTTATGGAAGAAAAAATCATGGATGCTATACTTGGTAGAAGTGAAAATAGATTTACAACTATTGGAGATCTTCATGAGCTTGTCAACACTCTTAGGATCGAAATTTCACGCATCACCAACACCAACCATGGAAGCACTATTCTTACTATTATGGAAGAAGTTCAGAGTCTACGCTAAGAAGTTGTGCAGTTGAAGAAAATAAGTCGATTAGCCTCGCAACTAAATTCCGAGAGTTTTACTTCTATAAGCTCGAGAGATGTATGTAAGGATTAGTATGCCTGAAAAGTTTGACAATACAAGTTCAAGATTTTGAGGGTTTTTGCAACAAGTTAAACTCTACTTAAGGTTGCATCCTTTCCAATAACTTGATGGATTTACTCAAGTTGGATTCATAGGCGTACTTCTATCTAGAAGTGTTCTCTCTTGGTTCACACCTTTGATGGAAAAAGATTCACGACTACTCTATGATTTGAACTCATTCTTGGAAGTATTTATGGCTACATTTGGATAAAGTGATCGAGAAAGGATAGCAGAGATTAAGCTTATATCACTACGACATGGATCATGTTTAGCCACCATGTATGCAGCTGAATTCCAAAGTCTTATTTGTGATATGGACTGGAATGATAAAGCCCTTATCAATCAATTTTGATATGGATTAAAGGATAATGTCAAAGATTTGTTATTGATAATATCAAAAATAGATTCTTTAGAATAATTCATTGTTCAAGCTATTGCATGTGATAATCATTTATTTGAAAGACGTCAAGAACAAAGATATGGCTGGAGAGGAACAAGTCAAGTCATGGCAACACCTTCTAAGTTTTTGGAAACCTTTCCATCAAAGGCAGAGCCAATGCAAATTGATACGATACGTTTTAAACCCCTCATGAAGCAGAAAAAGACTCGACGATGTCAAGAGGGCTTATGTCTATATTGCGAAGAAGCTAAATACACTACTCAATATTATCCAAAGAAGCAACGCAATCACAAAATGAGGAGTACAATCACAAAAGAAGATAATGTGTGGAAAAACGAGTTCCTCCAACTACAATAAGGACCATGCAGTTGGAACCATGTGTAACACCTAGTCAAGGTCCTATTCTCTCTTTAGATCCCTCATTTTGTTTTATAATAGATGTGTATTTAGGGTCCAAAAATCATAAAGTTTTTGCATTATTAGATTCAGGAGCCTCAGCTTATTTCATAGACAAAGACTTTGTCAAAAAATAAGAAATATCGTTAGTCAAGAAAATCAAACCCGTACATGTGGAAGTCATAGATGGTCATTCGTTCTCTTCTAGTGATGTCACCCATGAGACAATTCCTTTAGATGTAGTAATTAAAGATCATAATAGTGTAATAATATTTAATTTGATATGATCTCCTTTGAATCCAGTCATTTTAGGACTATCCTAATTAGAAAAGTATAATCCTCAGATAGATTGGATTTTCGGTGTTGTATGGCATGACTTGCTATCTGGGAATATACTAGGTATCTAGCTATAGAGAGTGTATCTGAAGCCTTTATATGATTCTTTTCTTAGCTTCCAAAACTCCTTTATTTTTGTATAATACTCCAAATATAATAAAATCCCTTCAAAACATATTTTTCCCACGAAGGATTTTCTCGCCCCAAACTTTAAAAAATCAATACTATTGATCTAACTATTCATTTTATTTCAAATTTACAAGATAAGTAGAATTTATCCTTAAATTTTACCACAAAAAAACAAATCTCAAATTCACTCCCGATCTTTTGGAATCTAAGAAATCCTAGCAGACACTCCAAACCCTAATTTACAAGCACCCAAAAAACTATTTTCCTTATATCTCAAAAACCCGAACTTCAAATGTCATAAAACTTATGCACAAAGTTTACTAACATGAAATTACACATTCTTTGAAATTTTGAGCCAAAACCTTGTCAAATTGCTCAAGATATAGCTCAAGAGACAAACACTAGTAAATCGGTTTACTTACTACCCTTAGATTGCATGTGCTGACTTCAAAATCCAATAACTCCTTCATCCCAACTTAGAATCCAGTAATTAGTATGTGAAAAGTATAGCCGCAAAAGTGCTCTCTCTAGTCGCAGTCGCCGATCGTCAATTGCCATTTGTATGCGTGCGTTATGTCCAAAAGAGTGACAGTAGGTCCAAAACTAACACCTTAACTTTGAGCGCCTATAACTTCTTCATAAAAACCCCAAATGACACAAAACTTACACCAAAACCTTAACCAA